CTCTCTTCCTGACGGTCCGGACCCGGAGTCTGACTCTCTTCGTGCTGCCAGTCCTACTGTCACGCGTCTCCTCGCCACTGTTGTCACTGACCCTTCCTTTGAGTCCTCTGCTGCGTCTGCTCTAGTCGCTGAGCTTGTTGACTTTGCTGCCGCCTGTCGTCTAGACTACGCCGCTAGCCTTGTTGCTGAGTCTGAGTCTGTCTGTCCTCTGTCCGTCCGGGGTGAGTGTGCTCTTGGCACGGGCTTCCTTGAGGACAGACAGGAGGAGTTTGAGTGCTTTGCCGCTGCTTTACCTCATCTCGTATCCATGCTGATTGCCCCTGAGGGAGACCCGGATGCACCAGACATCCCGACCCCACGCTCTTACGCAGAGGCGATGGAGGGTCCCTACTCCTCTCAGTGGCAGACAGCCATGGACGCAGAGATGGCTTCCTGGAAGTCCACAGGCACCTACGTCGACGAGGTTCCCCCACCTGGGGCGAACATCGTCAGTGGCATGTGGATTTTCAGGGTGAAGCGGCCGCCGGGTTCTCCGCCTGTCTTCAAGGCGCGTTACGTTGCACGAGGCTTCAGTCAGCGAGAGGGAGTTGACTTCTTCCAGACCTTCTCCCCGACCCCGAAGATGACCACTCTTTGGGTTCTGCTGCACGTCGCCGCTCAGCGTGACTACGAGCTCCACTCTCTTGACTTCAGCACTGCGTTCCTACAGGGCAGCCTGCACGAGGAGATCTGGCTACGCCGCCCACCTGGCTTCACTGGGTCGTTCCCTCCTGGTACCCAGTGGAGCCTCCGGCGGCCAGTCTACGGTCTCCGCCAGGCACCCCGTGAGTGGCACGACACACTGAGGACTACTCTTGCTGCTCTTGGGTTTGCTCCTTCTACTGCTGACCCGTCGCTGTTTCTACGCACCGACACCACTCTGCCGCCGTTCTACGTTCTAGTGTACGTAGACGACTTGGTCTTTGCTACTGCTGACACTGAGGCACTCGCCCACGTGAAGTTAGAGCTGCAGAAGAGACACACGTGCACAGACCTGGGTGAGCTGACAAGCTATCTTGGCTTGCGGATCACCCGGGACAGAGCACAGCGCACCATCACCTTGACTCAGTCACACATGGTGCAGCAGGTCCTTCAGCGCTTCCGCTTCACGTACTCCTCGCCTCAGCCCACTCCTCTGCCTACCGGTCACTCGCTCTCAGCTCTGCCTTCGGATGAGTCTGTAGAGCCGAGTGGCCCGTATCCAGAGCTTGTGGGCTGCCTCATGTACCTGATGACCTGCACTCGACCTGACCTTGCATACCCTCTTAGCATCCTAGCACGCTATGTCGCTCCTGGCCGTCACCGGAAGGAGCACATGGATGCCGCTAAGAGGGTGTTGCGCTAATTGTGCAGTACGTCGGGCATGGGGCTTGTGCTTGGAGGACGGAGCGACGTTGTCCTCACTGGACACTCAGACGCTTCTTGGGCTGACGACCAGACTACGCAGCAGTCGTCTCAGGGTTACACCTTCAGCCTTGGCTCTGGTTCAGTTTCTTGGCGTTCTACACGCTCGTCTTCAGTTCTTAGCTCCAGTTGTGAGGCTGAGATCTACGCCACAGCCATGGCTGCACAGGAGTTACGCTGGCTCACCTACCTGCTGACCGACCTGGGAGAGCGGCCTCGTTCTCCTCCAGTGTTGTACGTCGACAACAAGGCCGCCATTGCCTTGTGTCAGGAGCACAGACTGGAGCACAGAACGAAGCACATCGCTCTGCTCTACTTCCTTGCTCGAGAGCTGCAGCAGCGTGGTCAGCTTCGTCTTACGTACGTGGCCACTCGGGCCAACACTGCTGATGTGTTCACCAAGGCGCTTCAGCCTTGTGATCATCAGCGTTTCTGTACTGTTCTAGGCCTTGTGCCTACTGTCCCTCACTTGCTTACTTCTTGACTCTGCTTGTACTGTGATCTCTATATATATACCTGCATGCTTACACTTGCTAGGTTGTGATCACTGTACCTCTTGTTATATTATCAAACTGCATGTGAACTAGTCTTGTGACCGCTTGCTTGTGCTCGGAATTTGTGTGGTATCCTTGAGATCCACCCTGAGCTTGTTTTGCTTTGCTTTGACTGGTCTTGTGACCCCTTGCTCTCCCCCACTTAGCCTATGGGGGTGTGTCAAACATTATATATGTTATAGTTGTGTAGGCTACAGTGGGTTAGCCTTTAGGGGGTACACTACTCTAGGGTTTGGTACTTGTACTCCCATTCCTTTCTAGTTCATCACTTCTCTCAATTCTAACAAGGGGGAGAAGTTTTGGGAGGGGGAGGGTGTATCGCAAGCGTACCTTGCTATCCAGGTCCAAGATCGTAACCCTAGAAACCGCCGTGTGGAACGACATGAGGTTGAACAGCGCGGTTCTCGCGGCCTCGCTCATCGGATGCGACGTGAGCGTTTTGCACGACTTGGCCTTGTCAGCCAGCGCCGACAATTCCCTGCTGTTCGTCTTCCTTCCCGAGAAAACAACTGCCTTTTTGATCCGATCGCTCGCGACCGCGTCGAGCGCTTCGTAAAGCGCGCCGCTGCTCCGGGTCTTCTTGTACCCCTCGAACGCGTCGCTCCACGCGCGATTCGTGGGAAGAAAAACCGACTTCCCTGCCGGAAACTTACACACGGAGTTGGCAAGGTAGCCGAGAATGAAGAACGATTTGGACACGTCGTCAAACTTGATGGCCATCGGAACCTTCATCCGCAGGGATGGCGGCGGGGAAGGCGGAGCGCCGGGCGCCGCCGGAGGCGCTGCGGCTGCGAGCACCTGTTCAAGGGTGTAGTCCTGCATGTAGTCGTCGTCGTTGTACTGATCGGCCGGCGCCGGCACCGGCGGCGACGGCGACGGTGACGGTGGTGCGCCGGCCGAGGGTGCTCCGTCCCCTGCCCCGGCCCCCCCGGCCGCGGGTGCTTCTGCATCGCCCTCGCTGGGGCCGGCCGAGGGTGCTCCGGCCCCTCCGGCCCCTGCCCCGGCCCCGGCCCCGGCCCCCGCGCCCGCGGGTGCTTCTGCGTCGCCCTCGCCGGGGACGGGTGCGGCTGCGGGCGTGGCTTGCAGAACCCGACGGCTCACAACCGCCATTTCGGACGAATCCGCGAGCGCCGTGGCCGGCAGAGCGGCGGTTGCGAGGAGCAGGAGCGCGACGAAAGCCACGTGGGATTCGAGGCGATTCGGCGTTGCGACGGGCTGAGCGGCGGCGGCGCCGGTGGCGGCCGCCGTCCAACGTGACGCTGCGGCAATGCGGCGAGCCATGATTAGCAGTTCGCGCGGGAAGAACGCGGCAGGAAGAACGGCCGTCGTGTGCAACGAAAGGGCAGCGTCACACGACGTGCGCAACGAAAGACGGGGGAGGCTACTACCTCCTGAGACGTTGCCTGACAGTTGCCTGAGTGTTCTTAAGTAGTAGTAAGCACGGCATGGCTCCTCAGGGTTCAAGGTGGTAGTAACCTCTGGTTCCTTCACCTGGGCTGAAGGGGCGTGTTAAGCAAGGCGAGGTCGTAGCGGGGGGCGCTGTGCGCATCTTTCCCGTCCCTTTTCCCCCACGTATTCCTCTTCGCCCCGTCCGCGCAAGCTGTGCAGCTCTGGTGTTACGCCGCTGCGATGATCATGGCTCTGTGTCATGCTTCTGTGTCATGCCTCCTGCGCATCTCCCTTTCCATCCGCGCTAGCTGTGCGGCTCTGGTACGCCGCTGCAATGATGCCTCCCCCGCATCTCCCTTTCCGACGGCGCCTCATCGTGGCGACGTGGTTCCGAACAATCTGTAGCGGTTTAAGATCATCCTGGCGAGGTTTTTGAGGCGCCTCGAGGAAGTCCGACTTTTAAACGGTCTGTAGCAATCGTTTTGAGATGACTCATGAGAACGTCATGTTCAGTGCGGCGCACGGTAAACCGGTTGTGAGAAACTCCAGCGAAATGGGAAATCTCGTTCCGCGCGACGAACTAGGATTGTCTTTGCGCTAGGATGATAGCTCGGCGCGGCGCAGCGCGGCGAGAAGCAACATAGCTACAACGACGAGCGGGCGAGTTGCTCTACGCTTGACTACTGTAGTTTGAATGGCTGTGGTGTCGAGATGACAGCAGATGGAATGGAACTACTATCTGAAGTACTGACATCCCAAAACATTTGGCGAGGGGGTTGGTATACCAAGGCATGGAGTAGGGACTCCGAACACTTGGCCGTGGTGTGTGTGATGTATGTGCGCTGAAGCTACATTCTATTCCGTGTACCTCGTACGAACCATGCTTGGCCAACCTACCCTAATGTAAACTCGGTTGAATGTACAGGTTTGGTAGTGGCTAGTGTGTGTAGACTTCCAAAGCGGAGCGAAACCAGGATGTTCAAGCCTACATTGCAGGTAGGGTTTCAAACCTACATATGTTCTACCAAGCCTGTACTTTGACGAGACTCAACCCAAATACTCAGTACACATGATGCTCAGTCGAATCGCAGACATCTGCTCAGCCCAAACGCGACGCCGTCCCTTTCACGTTTGGTGAGGGGCAACCGCCCGTCATGTACAAACCCTCGCGGCTCGGGAAGATTCGGAAAGTTGATAACGAGTGGTTGGGAAGCTCCGACCTCCCACTTGCATCCCTGATTTCCGATGTACAACAAACGAAGCCACCCAGAACTGTAGCAGTAAAAATATCTGCGTAACCGTGGTGTTCTTTACATTCCCTTTTCTGCCCGTGGCGAAACTGACGAAACGCTCGCGAATTAGATGCTCGCTTCACTCCCCCGGTGTCGAAAAAGATGGCGTGAGTGAAACGGGCATCATGTGTAGAATGTTCGACAAATACAATCTCTCATTTGTTAAAACCCGCAGCCTGAATTACAAAAGCGAGTCAACGCTAGGTTTGGGTTGGGTTGGGGGTCACGCAAACTGAGGTTCGGAAGTTTAACGAAAGTTGCACCCTAGCGAAAACAATGTGCGACAACCTGGTGTCGCACCAAGCAAACGACTCAGAGGGGAATGTGCCTGCATATGCTATATGAGAGTGAACAAAAGCACCTCAACGTACCTTACACCAGGTTAGAAGCTTAGCTGTTAGACTTCAAGTAGGAAAACGTCACCATGCGACTAAAACGACGGCATACCATCCGTCGTTCCCCTATACATCGCACGCAGGTTCAAGCCCCGTCGCCCACAATTTTAGGGTTACAGCGCGTGCAGTTCCGAAATCCGGCGACGCCCGCATTTAGCGTTCCCGTCGCCCGCATTTAGCATTTTCGTCGCCCAAGCGTGACATTCCCGTAGCGCTAATATCCCCTACCCGTCATACGCAGGTCCCGGTCGACCCGCCCGCATTTCTCCCACGATTCGCGACCGCGACGCCCCTTCGCTTCACCCACATTTCCGCGTCGTTTCAGTCGCATTTCCTCTTCGATGCGCGAACTATAGGCGATCCCATCGCCAAAATTTCGCGAGCCCGTCGACTGCAGATCCCCTTCTCGTCGGCCACCTTACCCTTTCTCGTCGACCCCACATCTCATTTCTCTCTTCCACAGCGCCCTCATACTCTCTCCCACAGCGCTCTCAAATTCTCTCCCACAGCGCTCTCATCCCCTTCTTTCATCCCGTTTCCCCCCTGCTCATTCTCTGCCCCCCTTCAATCATCCAGGGCGTGCCCCTCACCCCTCTGAACCTAGCTTGCCATCCACATCTTCCCTTCCCCAGCGCTCACAGATTCCCTGTTCCAGCGCCCGCACGTACCCGTCGACTGCAGATATTCTTCTCATTGCGAAGTGTGTATATAACCACCACTATGTGATTCTCTCTTACGTTCCTTCCAATTCCCGAATAATCGGAAATTAACCCCCACACTGCATACATCTCTCCCTTTTCCCCCCTCAATCGCCCTGCTCCCCACCGTCCTCCCCCCAGCTCTCTCCCCGGCATCTCCCTCGCTCCCCACGTCCTCTTCCGTGCTTCCCCCCATCCCCTTCCCTGCTTCCCCCCATCCCCTTCCCTGCTTCCCCCCATCCCCTTCCCTGCTTCCCCCCATCCCCTTCCCTGCTTCCCCCCATCCCCTTCCCTGCTTCCCCCCATCCCCTTCCCTGCTTCCCCCCGTCCACTCCCCTGCTTCCCCGCATCCCCTGGCCTGCTTCCCTCCGTCACTTCCCCTGCTTCCCCCCGTCCCCTCCGCTGCCTCCCCCCATCCCCTTCCGTGCTTCCCCCCATCTCCTTCCCTGCTTCCCCCCATCCAATTCCCTGCTTCCCCCTATCTCCTTCCCTGCTTCCCCCCATCCCCTTCCGTGCTTCCCCCCATCCCCTTCCATGCTTCCCCCCATCCCCTTCCGTGCTTCCCCCCATCCCCTTCCGTGCTTCCCCCCATCTCCTTCCCTGCTTCCCCCCATCTCCTTCCCTGCTTCCCCCCATCCCCTTCCCTGCTTCCCCCCATCTCCTTCCCTGCTTCCCCCCATCCAATTCCCTGCTTCCCCCCATCTCCTTCCCTGCTTCCCCCAATCCCCTTCCGTGCTTCCCCCCATCCCCTTCCATGCTTCCCCCCATCCCCTTCCGTGCTTCCCCCCATCCCCTTCCCCCATCCCCTTACGTGCTTCCCCCCATCCATTTCCCTGCTTCCCCCCATCTCCTTCCCTGCTTCCCCCCATCTCCTTCCCTGCTTCCCCCCATCCCCTTTCGTGCTTCCCCCCATCCCCCACCATGCTTCCCCCCATCCCCTTCCGTGCTTCCCCCCATCCCCTTCCGTGCTTCTCCCCATCCCCTTATGTGCTTCCCCCCATCCATTTCCCTGCTTCCCCCCATCTCCTTCCCTGCTTCCCCCCATCCCCTTCCGTGCTTCCCCCCATCCCCTTCCATGCTTCCCCCCATCCCCTTCCATGCTTCCCCCCATCCCCTGGCCTGCTTCCCCTCATAATCTCCCTCTACAGGTCCCCATCCCCCTCCCTATCGCTGGCAGTCCGCCCTGTCACTCAGATTTCCCATGCTCGACACCCTCGCTCGTTGGGAAAATGCCCGTCGCAAGTGCGGGCACTGCGCGTCGGCCAGCCATATTCACTCTGTTCCGCCCACCCTCTCCCGTTCCGTTCTGCCGCCATCTCGCATTCCTTCGCACCTTCCCTCATTCCTTCCCACCCTCTTTAATTCCTTCCCACCCTCTTTAATTCCTTCCCACCCTCTCTCATTCCTTCCCTCACTCTCCCACCCTCTGCCCTGTTCCCACCTAGGAACCCCCATCCCTGCCTTTTCCTCCCACCCTCCTTCCCCCACTCTCCTTCCTCCTGCACTCTCTCCCTCCGTCCTCTTACACTCTCACTCTCCTGCACCCTCTGCCCTGTTCCCCCCTGCCCTCCCCATCCCTGCCTTTTCCTCCCTGCTCCGCCCTTCCCTCCCCCAGCCGTTCTCAACCCTTCCCTTCCTTTTCATGCCCTGCCCTTCCCCCTCACTCCTCACCTTCGGCCCTCTAATACCCATGCATCTGCACCCAAAGGTGTCTCCCCATACATGCTTTCATTATGTGCGCTTGCCTGTATTCCCCTGCCGTTGTTCCCTTGGCACCTCACACCACCTCCCCCATGTTCCTTCACACGAATCTTTCTGCCTACTCCACTCCCCTATTTTTCAGTGGTGAAGCAGAGGAGCAAGCTGAGGCGCAGCTAGTCTATGCTTTGCATCGTACCACCACCTGTTTCTTTTGTGGTGTATGCATGCATGATACTGTATTTTGCTTCTGCAGTGCAAGATATTCTTCCAAGATGCATGGACACTAAGAGTGTCAGAAGGGTACAGAAAGGCATGTGCACAATACTTTTGATTGTACCTTTTCCAAGGCCTCGAAAAAAACATGAAGGGAACTGTTTTCTCTACGAGCATGGCATGGGATGATGGGCCTCTGAGCCAGTTGCAGTACCAGAAAAAACATCAGTGTAGTCACTGCAATAGCCAGGGAGAGGGAGAGAATACGAGCGTTGGGGAGGGGAAAGCAGGGAAAGAGGGGAAAGAGGGAAGCAGGGGGAAGGGACAGGGGGAGAGGGAAGAGGGGATAGGAAGAGGGGGGGTGAGGGAATGGAGGAGATAGGAAGAGGGTGAAAGGGAAATAAATAAATACCGTAGGAACAGGGAGGAGAGGGAAGAGGGGAGATAGGAAGAGGGGGAGAGGGAAAGCAGGAGATAGGAAGATGAAACGAGGGGAAGAAGAGGGGGAAATGAGGAGAAACAGAGGGGTAAATCCTGGGAAGCAGAGGGGGAATTGAGGAGAAGCAGGGGGGAAAGTGAGGGGAAGCAGCGGCGGAAATGAAGGGGAGGGGGGGGGAATGAGGGGAAGCAGGCCGGGAACGATGAGAGCAGAGAAGGAAACGAGGGAGGGATGGATGAAAGGAGGGATGGATGAAGTTACGAACATTGGAAGGGAAGGACGGATGAATGGAGGAACATAGGAAGGGATGCAGGGAGGAAAAAAAGATGGGAGAAAGAAGTTTGATTCGGAAAATGAAAAGGGGGGGGAGGGCGGAAGGGAGGAATGCAGGAAGGGAGGAAGTGATGATGGGAGGAAGTGATGATGGGAGGAAGTGATGATGGGAGGAAGTGATGATGGGAGGAAGTGATGAAGGGAGGAAGTGATGATGGGAGGAAGTGATGATGGGAGGAAGTGATGATGGGAGGAAGTGATGATGGGAGGAAGTGATGATGGGAGGAAGTGATGATGGGAGGAAGTGATGATGGGAGGAAGTGATGATGGGAGGAAGTGATGATGGGAGGAAGTGATGATGGGAGGAAGTGATGATGGGAGGAAGTGATGATGGGAGGAAGTGATGATGGGAGGAAGTGATGATGGGAGGAAGTGATGATGGGAGGAAGTGATGATGGGAGGAAGTGATGATGGGAGGAAGTGATGATTGGAGGAAGTGATGATGGGAGGAAGTGATGATGGGAGGAAGTGATGATGGGAGGAAGTGATGATGGGAGGAAGTGATGATGGGAGGAAGTGATGATGGGAGGAAGTGATGATGGGAGGAAGTGATGATGGGAGGAAGTGATGATGGGAGGAAGGGCGGAAGGGACTCCAGCAGTACCTTGTCCGCCTCTGCTGCGTGAATCTGCGCGCCGCCATCTGTCCACAGCGCCCCAAGCAGCTCCCTGGTGCAGATGAGGGATGAGAACAAGGGATGAGGGGTGATGAAGAGATGGGGTGAGGAGGTGGGATGAGGAGGTGGCGCAGGGCCGATGGTGGTGTGGGAAACACCTGGAGGGGAGGGGGAGAGGATCGGATGGGGAGAGGATCGGATGGGGAGAGGATAGGATGGGGAGAGGAGAGGATGGGGAGAGGATCGGATGGGGAAAGGACGGATGGGGAGAGGAGGGATGGTAAGAGGATGGATGGGGAGAGGAGAGATGGGTAGGTGAGGGATGGGGAGGTGCAGCGCCCCAGAGCAGCGCAGAGCACCTCATCTCGCGTAGCTCACCGCACTGCACAGCACTGCATGGCAGAACAGAGCACAGAACCGTACCGCACACAACTGCACAGCAGAGCATGTTGTGTTGTGGCTCACCTGTAGCATGAGAACAGCAGCAGCTGTAGCACGTGCTTCCGGTTGGCCCTGCAGAAGAGGGTGTGGGGGCGGGAAGGGGGGAAACAGGGGAGAGGGGTCTGGGGAAAAATAGTATCGAGGCTATGGAGGGAAATAAGGGGGAGGTGAGGGATGGGGAGGTGAGGGATGGGGAGGTGAGGGATGGGGAGATGAGGGATGGGGAGGTGAGGGATGGGGAGATGAGGGATGGGGAGGTGAGGGATGGGGAGATGAGGGATGGGGAGGTGAGGGATGGGGAGATGAGGGATGGGGAGGTGAGGGATGGGGAGGTGAGGGATGGGGAGATGAGGGATGAGGACATGAGGGATGGGGAGATGAGGGATGAGGACATGAGGGATGGGGAGATGAGGGATGAGGACATGAGGGATGGGGAGATGAGGGATGAGGACATGAGGGATGGGGAGATGAGGGATGAGGACATGAGGGATGGGGAGATGAGGGATGAGGACATGAGGGATGGGGAGATGAGGGATGAGGACATGAGGGATGGGGAGATGAGGGATGAGGACATGAGGGATGGGGAGATGAGGGATGAGGACATGAGGGATGGGGAGATGAGGGATGAGGACATGAGGGATGGGGAGATGAGGGATGAGGACATGAGGGATGGGGAGATGAGGGATGAGGACATGAGGGATGGGGAGATGAGGGATGAGGACATGAGGGATGGGGAGATGAGGGATGAGGACATGAGGGATGGGGAGATGAGGGATGAGGACATGAGGGATGGGGAGATGAGGGATGAGGACATGAGGGATGGGGAGATGAGGGATGAGGACATGAGGGATGGGGAGATGAGGGATGAGGACATGAGGGATGGGGAGATGAGGGATGAGGACATGAGGGATGGGGAGATGAGGGATGAGGACATGAGGGATGGGGAGATGCGGGATGAGGACATGAGGGATGGGGAGATGCGGGATGAGGACATGAGGGATGGGGAGATGAGGGATGAGGACATGAGGGATGGGGAGATGAGGGATGAGGACATGAGGGATGGGGAGATGAGGGATGAGGACATGAGGGATGGGGAGATGAGGGATGAGGACATGAGGGATGGGGAGATGAGGGATGAGGACATGAGGGATGGGGAGATGAGGGATGAGGACATGAGGGATGGGGAGATGAGGGATGAGGACATGAGGGATGGGGAGATGAGGGATGAGGACATGAGGGATGGGGAGATGAGGGATGAGGACATGAGGGATGGGGAGATGAGGGATGAGGACATGAGGGATGGGGAGATGAGGGATGAGGACATGAGGGATGGGGAGATGAGGGATGAGGACATGAGGGATGGGGAGATGAGGGATGAGGACATGAGGGATGGGGAGATGAGGGATGAGGACATGAGGGATGGGGAGATGAGGGATGAGGACATGAGGGATGGGGAGATGAGGGATGAGGACATGAGGGATGGGGAGATGAGGGATGAGGACATGAGGGATGGGGAGATGAGGGATGAGGACATGAGGGATGGGGAGATGAGGGATGAGGACATGAGGGATGGGGAGATGAGGGATGAGGACATGAGGGATGGGGAGATGCGGGATGAGGACATGAGGGATGGGGAGATGCGGGATGAGGACATGAGGGATGGGGAGATGAGGGATGAGGACATGAGGGATGGGGAGATGAGGGATGAGGACATGAGGGATGGGGAGATGAGGGATGAGGACATGAGGGATGGGGAGATGAGGGATGAGGACATGAGGGATGGGGAGATGAGGGATGAGGACATGAGGGATGGGGAGATGAGGGATGAGGACATGAGGGATGGGGAGATGAGGGATGAGGACATGAGGGATGGGGAGATGAGGGATGAGGACATGAGGGATGGGGAGATGAGGGATGAGGACATGAGGGATGGGGAGATGAGGGATGAGGACATGAGGGATGGGGAGATGAGGGATGAGGACATGAGGGATGGGGAGATGAGGGATGAGGACATGAGGGATGGGGAGATGAGGGATGAGGACATGAGGGATGGGGAGATGAGGGATGAGGACATGAGGGATGGGGAGATGAGGGATGAGGACATGAGGGATGGGGAGATGAGGGATGAGGACATGAGGGATGGGGAGATGAGGGATGAGGACATGAGGGATGGGGAGATGAGGGATGAGGACATGAGGGATGGGGAGATGAGGGATGAGGACATGAGGGATGGGGAGATGAGGGATGAGGACATGAGGGATGGGGAGATGCGGCATGGGGATATAGCAAGGGGGAATAGAGCAGGGGGGTATAGAGCAAGGGGGAATAGAGCATGGGGGAAATGGGATGAATGCAAAGGGATTGAGATTGAGCAGAGGGCATATGGGGTGAGTGAAGGGGGATAGTGAGTAAGCAAGGGGGAAATGGGATGGAAGAAGTTTGGATCAGTGACCCAGGTGGAAATGGGATGAAAGATGGGGGAAGGAGAGTGAGCAGGGTGGATCATGAGATGAACGCATGGGGAAAGGGGGGAAGGAGAGTGAGCAGGGGGGGAATGGGATGAGTGCAATTGAAATGAGATTGAGTAGAGGGGGAATGGGGTGAGTGAAAGGAGGAAAGAGAGTGAGCAGCGACGACCTTGAATGAAAGAAGGGTGACTAAGAGAAAGCAGGGGGGAATTGGGACCAAACAAGGAGAGAAGAGATTGAGCAGGGGGCAAACGGGGTGAGTGACGGGGGAAAGGGAGTGAGCTAGGGGAAATGGGGAAGAGTGAACGAGAAAAAGAGAATGGGCATGGGGGAAATGGGATGAGGAGATGAGGGATGGGGAGATAAGGGATGGGGAGGGGAGGCATGGGGAGATGAGGGAAGGGGAGATGAGGGAAGGGGAGATGAGGGAAGGGGAGATGAGGGAAGGGGAGATGAGGGAAGGGGAGATGAGGGATGGGGAGACGAGAGTGTGGGGTGTGGCGTAGCTGGAGGAAGGGGTGGTGCTTGGCGCAGGGAGTCCCCATTCTCGTTAGAGGGGAGGGAGCGTGGGCGACGGGAGGGAGGGAGCGTTAGGAGTGACGGATGGGTGTGCGCGTACGCGACGTAAGGGGAGTGAGCATGGGCGACGGGAGGGGAGTGAGCGTGGGCGACGGGAGGGGAGTGAGCGTGGGCGACGGGAGGGGAGTGAGCGTGGGCGATGGAAGAGAGCGAAGAGGGGCGAAAGAGAAGTCGCGCGAAGGCGACGGGAGGGGAGGGAGCGTGATCGTGCGTCAGGAAGGAAGCGTGGACGACGGGAGGGAGTGATCATCCTCTTTGGAGGGGAGTGCGCGAAGGCGACGGGAGGGGAGTGCGCGAAGGCGACGGGAGGGGAGTGCGCGAAGGCGACGGGAGGGGAGTGCGCGAAGGCGACGGGAGGGGAGTGCGCGAAGGCGACGGGAGGGGAGTGCGCGAAGGCGACGGGAGAGAGTGCGTGAAGGCGAGGGAGGGGAGTGCGCGAAGGCGACGGGAGAGAGTGCGCGAAGGCGACGGGAGGGGAGTGCGCTAAGGCGATGAGGGGGAGTGAGCTATGGCGATGGAGGGAAGTGTGCAACATTGACGGGAGAATGGTCGCGGAGGGGAGTGAACGTAGGCGACGGCGACGATGTAAATGGACCGAAATCTGAGTAACGCGGAATGCAATACCCTGGACATACAACCTCCCCTCCCGAAAAATATATAGCCGTCGATTATCATTGTCGACGGTTCAGATCAAAGTTCCAACTCGTGTAGGTTGGCTCGTTTACCGTCGATCACAATCGTCTTGAACGGTTTCGATCAGAAGTTTGTTTGTATTGTTCTAGTTTTAACCGTCGATCCAAAAAACGTGGACGATCGAGAGCTCACCAAAATGTGAGTTTTTCAACCGTCGATTTCCTGAACTTGGCGAAGATCGAACGTAACGTGTGCTTGTGGCTGATACACAGCCGTCGATCCTATCTTGTTTCGACGGCCACAATCGAGTGGTGAAATCACCTCAGTGAAGATAAGAACAGAAAAACAACACCAGACAAAAACGTGTTGCACAAGTAACTGGCGCTAGCAAGATTCGATTCCCAGTGCCTTTAGGTTCAGCATTCTAGACGCCAACCACTGCGCTAAAATACCGTTATAAATTATTTCGAGAGTTGTGCTATAACTGTATTCGCGACGAAACCAACCTGGCAAGGGTTTCGTTTCCAAAATCTGAATGGTGGTGTCCACCAACCTCATCTCCTCCTGAGCATATTTCCCCTCACTTCCAACATCTAGGTTTCATTCGTACCTGCTCCAATATTGAATCTTAGTTTTTTTTCTAGTCCTTCCTCTACCCTTAGTGACCTTCAGTTCTTTTCTTACGAGTATTCCTAACCCAGATTCTTTTCGGAATATCTCAGCGGAAACGGGTCGTCAGGCCTGACGACCCTCTGACGACCTGACGACATGCTGCCCCGGGCAGAAAAAAACTAAAACCCTATCGGATGGCATGCCGTTTGAGGGAGGCATCAACCCTAAATCCATGCCTTCCTGTGTTTAGGGTTGATGCCTCCCTGACCGGATGCATGCCCGATAGGGTTTTATTTTTTTTTGCCCGCGGGCAGCGAGCTCCCCCGGGCGGACTCGCTTGTCCGCTGAGATATATTAACCGATTTCTATCTGTCCTCATCGCAGGCTTTGCTTACTGTCTGCAACAGCAAGTTTCTATGCATCTTGTACGCATCTGAAGGTATTGTTGTGCCTTACCTGACGATGTTTGTTCATTCTTTCTTTCTTTTTGAAAGTCACTCAATTTGCGGCTCTGTTTTAACTGTCGTGGCCACTTTGTTGACTACCATAGAAACATGTCAGTGTGTTTGAAGTGGCACTTTCGAAGCTTCCAACAAGCTCTCTCTCTCTATAGTCGCTTCACCTCTCTCTTCTAGTTCACCGACCACGCTGTCCTGGTTCTCGTAGTGCCTCCATTCATTTCTTAGCTTCCAGACAGCTCTTATTTGGTTCCACCTGCCAGACCACGCTCCTACCGTTTATGTTACGTAGAAATGTTGAGCGCTGCTTGTGTTGTTTCCGTCGATTTCCCACCGGGTGCATGTATGTTATGGCATGTCGGACGGCGATATGGCTGTGGCGATACGGACGTGGCGATATGGGCGTGCTGATATGGGCGTGAGCGTGCTTGCTGCCTCAGCGTCGTTACTTCAGTAACCATTGTTTTTGGTTTCTGTTGTCTGATTTCCTAACACTAACGGTTGTATCTGTCGCTGGTTTTCGTTGTTTGTCCTCCAACTCCTAACGCTGTCGCGATTTTGCAGGCATAAACTTTGACCGTGCATAATGCGCTATTATTATTTTATCGTCAGTTCTGTGCCCATCATTAACGCAATGTTTTTGTTTTACAGGGATGGGCTGCACGCTTGTTGCTGCCAGGATCGCTCACCTAGTAGGGTGGTCGCTCTTGGTGATGGCGATACATATGAAGCGGTTTTTGCTAGTTCTTCCTAGCATATTGTGTTGTAACGTTGTATTAGTATATTGGTATATCCATGAAACATACCATCAGTGTGAATTGGAAACGTACACACCCGGTTACAGGTGCAATGGTTACACGGCTGTCATTGTAACAATGTAACATTGTAACCGAGGGATTCTAAAGCTACGTGTAACTGGTGAAACCATCTGTAACCATGGTAAAATGGCAACTTTGTAACCAGCTGCTGTAACTGTTACAAACTTAAAGCCTGGTAAATTGTGTCTATATTCACTCTGTAGATCCCATGTGTTTACAATGGTGATACATCTTGCAATTTACGAAGTAAACCTTGAGTACCGAGCCCGTTGTATCCCTAAACCGGGTACCGTAGTATGGGCCAACAAATTAGCATGTCGCAACTCTCGCGACGGGAAGTGGCAGCAAAGCACATCCAATGTCCCAACAGCATCGGGGTTGATGGAGTCTGGGGTTAGTAAAAAAACCTGTATATACGTTGTTTCTGCCAACATTGTGCAAGAAATGGATGTAGTTAGAAAATATGCGGTAGCTACTTTGTCGAGTCTCCTTAAAGCTCGCGTCTCATATTTTTTTCCGTTTTACACATGAGAGCGTTTAACACTTGGTTGGGTTCCGTGACTGGTTGACGAATGACAAAATCTGTGACGAGCTGGGGTGCGATTCTGGCGGAACCAATCGTGGACGTGCAAACCCAACCGAGTGTTAAACGCTTGTAAATATGAGACGCGAGCTTTAATGTTTTGGGATGGAACAACTATAGGCTGTACTAGTTGAACTGCTATCTGTAGTTCGACTGCCAGCTGTTACAGGGGGTTTTACTTTTCATCCAGAACAGTACTTCGCAACCTTATCATCATCCTATCTTTCCAGATTTCCTAGTGCCACGTGGCACTCTATTCTTCTTGCCTTACAATTCTAGTCCCACGAAGTACTTTCCGACATTCGACTTTGCATGCTATATCAACCTTGCTTGTATTCCCCAATATCAATCAATTCTCATTCAACTCTTTAATTACTCAGTTACCTCTTCGCCTATTTCGCCAACACTCTCTTTCGCCAAAGTCTTCCGCCGCGTTTATCCTCAATTTAGTCAACCCCGCTATTCCTTAGCGGATTTAGGCCAAGGGGCCTAACACTTGGTATCAAGAGCCTTCGAGGGGAGCGACTTCCAACGAGCGACCGTCGACGACGAGACTACGACGTCATCGTCCCGCGGTGCCGACTTGCAGACTTGGAGTCGTCGAGCCGACATGGATGAAACCATGACCGCTGTCCCCAACGACATGGGCAACACGCTTGCTCAACTCATGCGCCAACTCGAAACGTTGACGCTGGAAAATCGTCAGGTACGGGCTGAAATGCAACAGCTTCGTGAATTCGCGTCAATTTCTCATGGTCATGCCGCACCATCTCCTGCACCCAATACGTCGACTGGCGCGGAAGCGCTGCCGGAACGTCGAAGCGCGCTCAAGCTGCAGAAGCCCGAGCCGTTCGACCCAAGTCAACGCGACGCGAACGTGCGGACGTGGATCTTCATGCTGAACAACTACTTCGCCGCAAGCGGGGTGCAAGAGGCGGACGCGCAGCAGCGGATCGAGTACTCCGTTACGCTGCTGAGGGGCCCGGCCTTGGAGTGGTGGCGCCAACTCACGCAAACTGCTGTAAGAAGGGCTCATTTGGACGGGCATCAACAGGGTGAGGGGCATGCAGCTGCAACTTCGAGCTTAGGGAGTTTAGCTTTGGGTGTTACCACGGTTCCGACGACATGGGAAGGATTTGAAGCGGCGCTGAAAAGTAGGTTCGACTTGGTGAATGCCTCCGAAGCTGCTAGGAAGCGTCTGCGTCATTTCCGACAGATAGGAAACGTCCAGGAGTACACACGACGGTTCTTCAGCATCTGCAACGAGATAGACGATATCACGGAAGCAGAGATGCGCGATCGCTACCTCGAAGGGTTGAAGCCGGACACAGCGGAGATCATAGCGATTCACGGATTGTCCACCTTCGAGTCGGTAGTCGCAGCAGCAGAACGCGTCGACGCAGTACGAAGCCGACGGGGTCGTGACGATCGCGATAGGGGATACAAACCGATCACCGACACTCGATCGAGGGACGGACCATCGCCCATGGAGATTGGTGCAGTTAACAGTGACGGCTCACAGAAAACGGGATTTAGGGGGAACTGTCACTACTGCAAAAAGCCGGGACACATGAAGCGGGACTGCCCACAGCTTAAGGAGCGGCAGCAGGGAAACGGAAACCGCCAGTAGATAGCGGGTCGCTAGCTGGTGTGGACGCTTCCGAACCCGCCACGTCTACCAACGTAGAGGAGACGGCCTTAGAGCAGTCATCTATGCCGAACGAGGTAGACACTGCTGATCGTCCAGTCGTGCTTCTAGGGTAGCTTCGCGGTGTTCCAGTCAAGTTTCTCATCGATAGCGGAGCTAGCCACTCGTTCGTTTCGTCTTCATTAGTTAGCCGTCTCCATCTCGAGGCAGATTCGGCAGTCAACTTCAAGGACGCTCGCATGGTAGATGGGACGCCTCTCCACATAGGACCTGTCATCCGCAAGTTGCGCGTAGTGC